AGTCTTCGTTTGGCCTTGTTTTTGCCAACACTTTCGCGTCGTTACAACAAAGTTTGCCAAGGCATCCGCCGCGACTCAAAACCCGCGCAGTCCCTACCACTGTATTCGGAAAATTGATTTAAGAGCGTGTCGGACGCATCAGTCTTCGTTTGGCCTCGTTTTGGCCAACACTTTCGCCGCGCTGCAACAAAGTTTGCCAAGGCATCCGCCGCGACTCAAAACGCGCGCAGTCCCTACCACTGCATTCGGAAAATTGTTTTTAAAGCGTTTTGGACGCATCAGTCTTCGTTTGGCCTCGTTTTGGCCAACACTTTCGCCGCGTTGCAACAAAGTTTGCCAGGCATCCGCCGCGACTCAAAACGCGCGCAGTCCCTACCACTGCATTCGGAAAATTGTTTTTAAAGCGTTTCGGACGCATCAGTCTTCGTTTGGCCTCGTTTTGGCCAACACTTTCGCCGCGTTGCAACAAAGTTTGCCTCACTCACTCCCCCACTCACTTTGTCGCTCACTTCCTCCCTCGCTCTCTCTCCCTCCCTGACTCTCTCCCTCCTTCCTGCCCGCCCTCCTTCACCCCCTGCCTACCCCCGCCCTCCGCACATTAGTGTCGCGCGAATTCCTTGTTCAAGATCAATAACTGCAATGATCTCTCCGCATCACGAAGCATTTCAAACAGGAATTCGGCCTTGAGCGCATCAGTGTAGCGCAATCACTGTGACATTCAGAGCGCTGGGCAGAAATCTCAGCGGCTCGCTCACTCACATGAAAGCGGATAGCCCAGAGCCTCCAAAACCCCTTAACTAAGGAATGTACCTTAAATTATAATCGGATCCCTAATATGATTGAAGGTACATTCCTTAATCAAGGGGTTTTGGAGGTTCTGGAAGTACGTAGGGACAGTGGGAATCTCTTGACGTTCAGAGCACTGGGGCGCGGCACCTTCTGACCATCACAATGCTGCGACCTGAAGAGTTGCCCGTCACCCCCGCTGTTTGCCCGGGCTTGCTTGAATTGCATCACTGTGACATTCAGAGCACTGGGCAGAAATCACGGCGGAATTGCATCACTGTGACATTCAGAGCACTGGGCAGAAATCACGGCGGCTCACTCACTCACGTGAAAGCGGCTAGTACGTAGGGACTGTGGGAATCTCTTGACATTCAGAGCACTGAGGCGCGGCACGTTCTGACCATGCTGATGCTGCGACCTGAAGCGTAACCCTTTACCCGTGCTTGCTTGAATGGCATCACTGTGACATTCAGAGCACTGGGCAGAAATCACAGCGGCTCGCTCACTCACATGAAAGCGGATAGCCCAGGGCCTCCAAAAGCCCTTAATTAAGGAATGTACCTTAAATTATAATCGGATCCCTAATATGATTGAAGGTACATTCCTTAATCAAGGGGTTTTGGAGGTTCTGGGAGTACGTAGGGACAAATCTCTTGACGTTCAGAGCACTGGGGCGCGGCACCTTCTGACCATCACAATGCTGCGACCTGAAGAGTTGCCCGTCACCCCCGCTGTTTGCCCGCGCTTGCTTGAATTGCATCACTGTGACATTCAGAGCACTGGGCAGAAATCACGGCGGAATTGCATCACTGTGACATTCAGAGCACTGGGCAGAAATCACGGCGGCTCGCTCACTCACGTGAAAAAGGCTAGTACGTAGGGACTTGACATTCAGAGCACTGAGGCGCGGCACCTTCTGACCATGCTGATGCTGCGACCTGGCGTTACCCTTTACCCGTGCTTGCTTGAATTGCATCACTGTGACATTCAGAGCACTGGGCAGAATCACAGCGGCTCGCTCACTCACATGAAAGCGGATAGCCCAGAGCCTCCAAAACCCCTAAATTAAGGAATGTACCTTAAATTATAATCGGATCCCTAATATGATTGAAGGTACATTCCTTAATCAAGGGGTTTTGGAGGTTCTGGGAGTACGTAGGGACAGTGGGAATCTCTTGACGTTCAGAGCACTGGGGCGCGACACCTTCTGACCATCACAATGCTGCGACCTGAAGAGTTGCCCGTCACCCCCGCTGTTTGCCCGCGCTTGCTTGAATTGCATCACTGTGACATTCAGAGCACTGGGCAGAAATCACGGCGGCTCGCTCACTCACGTGAAAGCGGCTAGTACGTAGGGACAGTGGGAATCTCTTGACATTCAGAGCACTGGGGCGCGCACCTTCTGACCATGCTGCTGGGTAGTTGGATGCCCTGCAAGCTCAAACATGAAAACAAGCAATCAACTGCAGACTGCTGGGTAGTTTGATGCTTCATATGCCCTCCGTCAAACTTGGCAGGCGCTAGCTGGGCAGTTGGATGCTCAGACTCGCACGCTGCACCGCGGATGCTGGGGTAGTTGGATGGCCTCCAAGCTCAAACGAACAAGCAATCATTCTGCAAGCTGCTGGGTATTTTGATGCCCTCCAAACCCTGGTCGAAGCTACCAAACGTCAAACTTTGCAGGCAATGGGCAGCTGGATGCCCTCCACATTCAACTTAGGCTGTGGCTCTCTCAGGGTCGCATTCTGTAAGCGCTGGACAACGTTAGGTTGCACAAAGTGTCGGTCAGTCCTACCAACACGTGCCGCATCACTACTGTATAATGGCATGACAATGCTCTCGCACCCCGGAGGGTGGACTTGCAGCAAGCGCACAAAGCGTGACTGATGCCGTGCGCCGCAGGCACAAATCATACATGTGGGCACGACACAGCTCGGCAACACAACATGCGGAGCCTCTTTCGTGCACATGCTAAAGGGTCAACGAGTCAACAGCAAACCATCAAAGTTTTTGCGCCCCTCAAACCTAGCGTCTACGCGACTCCACCGCATGGTCTGGCCTGTAAAATGGCTCACTGCACATGGCAAAAAATGCTGCTGATCTCTCTGTGTTTGCAAGCATTATGCAACAGCAGCGCATGCCTCAAATCTGACAGCTAGCAGCCGTGGAATTGATGTAGACCAACTTCCAGCTGTTCGTCTAAAACGGCTGCTGTCACTGGCGGAGGAAATCGGTCCAAGAAACCACATCACATAGCACATCTGAAACAGACTTCAGAGAGGCTGGGCGAATGGCTTCCACGCTTCGTTCCGTCACACAGGACCTCCACGCAGCAACACCACTTTTGGTATCAAAAACACTGCTCGAAACAGACCCGTGTAGAGGTGGCCTCTCCAGTATTTTCAAACGCTGCTGGGCTCTTTGAAATCAGCGCAGGTCGCGGACTGGGCGTCCACGATACCAACGCACTGGTTCAACAGAAGCTGGGAGCGCACGACGTCTCGGAGCGACGGAACTCCCAGACGCACCCGACGCCGACGCCGCAGGCCTTGCTGCCCCTGGGCCGTGCGCCGCGGCTGGCATAGCCAACCCTTTTAAAGCTGACTTCGGCACGAAATGCACCCAAGTCATCACATCGACTTTCATTCCACTAGGGAAGACCAACGCAGCCTGCGCCGCACTTGGAACTCCACGCGGGACCTGCGGTGGCATTGCCAAGCCCAGCTCCTCACACACTCTCTGCGACATGGAGTTCTGGTTCCCGAGCAGCCCAAGAGAGTCGAAGGCGACATACCAATTGGTCGTCGGCAAGACAGCGGCAATCGCGGCGAAAATTATGCGCAGCCATGTCTCTTGGGAGACCACGCCCATAGGCAGGCAAGCTTTCTGCTCTCTCCAGGTGCGACGAAACGCAGCCTTGAAACGAGCGAACATAGCTGTGTCTGCTGGCTGGAGCCATCGTGTCATCCTGGCCGGGACAAAGCACATTCGAATTGACAGTCGCCTGGCATGCAAAAGTATCGAATGGTCTATGTGTGCTCTGTTAACATCAACAAGGAGGACAACCGTCCGCTGGGCGACCACCTCGCCCAAAGACCGCGCCAAGAAGCTGAGGTACCGCCTCATGATGGCATGCGTCGTCCACCCAGATGCTTCTCGCCAGATGTGCATGTTGGGAGGAAGCGAACCTGAAGCTTGCAAGCGGCGCAGAACTGCAAGACTGACCTGATGCTCATTCGCCAGAAGAATCTGCGGCAGTATGCCTTGCACGTCGCTGTCCGGGCAGATGCTTGCCAGAAACGACAAGCTGCCACGACGGTCCGAGAGAGTCCCGTGGTCCCGCCGCGGCTTATTCGCCGGACCCTTCAAGACAGTTCCCCAGAGCCCAGTTGGATGCCGCACCACCGAGGTCTCATCCATGTTCACCACCAGCACCGGCTTAGCGGCGTCACGCCAAATGTGATTCATCCACTGATGGAATACAGTAGCCTGCACAGTGAACAGTGAGGAATGCTTCAGAATGAAGACCTACATTTCGGGCTTGCCAGACGAAGCTAAAAAGCAGCCTGCCCTTTCCTGCGGCCAGAGCAGAACACAAACCAGTCTTACCAAGCGAGCCTAGATCCTGCGCTGCAGACTAGCCCATATTTCTATGTTCCCAATCTTCCCCTCTGCTTGACACTGAAAGAATGAAGCTCCCAGGCCGAACCATCACTGCGGAGGGTGGGTAACACTGTAACAGACAACCCCCCGCTGCGCTGCTGCTAGCCCATATCACAACACGCCAGGATTCTTAAAACGATGCGCGCGCAGCGGACCCTGTCCCAGCCAGCCTTCTGTCGGCGCTCAGCAACATCAACAACATCTTCTGTGCGTAAGCACCCATATCTTGCGCTCCACCTGCGGCGAAAGGCTGCCAGGTACTTGCGCTCCTTCCGCGGTGTACCCTGCACAAGCGAAACCAGGCGCTCTTTCACGCAAGACGGCGCGGCGGCAGGAATGCTCGCCAGAGCCACGTCTAGCATCTGCGCACGAGATGGTGCAATCCCATGCACTGTGTTCTGTTCCTCCACGTAGGCCACAAGTCGATGCTCCAGGCAATACTTGGCCGCGCAATAGACATCTCGCTGCCCAACCATTTTTAATGGCTCTAACTCCAAATCCACAAGAACCGACAGGGGCATGTGAATGTAAGCCCACTCAACCGTAGCCACTTGCTCCTCGGTGGCTGCAGCGGCCGAAGCGCCAGGCCTCCAACCTCTGCCACAAGCAAAATCAGCTGCCGCGCTGGAGCAATGACCGCTGAAACCATAAACGAGCATGGCCATGAGGCTGTCTGGAGCGCAACGCCGGAACCCATCCGCATCGCCTTCGACTTCCGTCGGAGCAGGCGCTGCGGCCCGTTTGCAGCGCTGACCCAGGTTCTTTATTTGGCGAGACAGCTCCCTCAGCTTCTCTTCGGGGCCAGGTGGAGGCATGGCTTCGAAAGGGTTTAAGGCAACTTCTCAAAACACATGGAAGGTAAGTTGACTTTACTACACACTCAAGCATGGGTTGCTCAGGACTGCTATGCCCGGAATCTTGGCTTGCTAGGCTGTGTTCCCAGGAAGTAACAGTCACCAGGCCAACTGAGACTATGGCTCGCGCTGCACGGCCACAGCAGATTCAGGCTCACACGTGGTTGCCCCCAATACATCAATCCACAGAGACACCGCCGTCTACCGGGGAGGCCCCCCCAGGCCAGGCTGCTCCAGACAGGCCAAATCAACACCGGAACCAATCACGCACAGTCTAGGAAAAGCAACGCCAGCCACAGAGCCTTCAACGCTCAGCGCCCGCTCCTGCATGCATGCACCGCACATCATGCTTTGCTGGATTTGCAAAACTCTGGTCGACCCAGCAGACACCACACGTCCAACGCAACTGTCTAGACCGAACGACGCATGAGACAGGACATGCGTTCTCACCTGCAGGCTCTCCTGCGCCACCGCCACCTGTCGGCAATTTGTGCGTGTCTGTGTGTGTGTGTGTGTGTGTCTGTGTGTGTGTGTGACAACAACGTTCCCACGCATTCCTGCCTGCGTTGTCAGCGAGAGGTTGACCGTTGGGGGCAGCAGCAGCAACGCCTCCCCGAAGTACACCCACAAGTCTACTATAATAGAAAGAGTCTGGACCAAACCTTCTCGCGCACGTAGCAGCAGCTGGAGGTCTTCGTTGCTTAAGTTCTTTGTGGCCTGGCTTGGCCAGCAAGCCAGAAACGCGAAATCACACGGCGTCGCTCTACGCGAGCCTGCAGGAGGCGCTTGCGTCGTGCCATCAGGTTCCGATGCTCTTTCGACTGCTCGCGCAGCTCTGCTTTCAAGGCCTTGCGCGTCTCTTTCAGACGCAGAAGCTCTTGGTGCAGTACCTAACAAGCATAGCTTGGCATTCCAACCAAGCATGATCAAACTACAGAAGCCTACCTGCTGGTCGCTCTGCTTCGGAGGCATTACCCAGCACCTTGTGTCATGCATCGGCTTTCTTCCACACCGCAGAAACTTGGTTTGCTCCGCGCCTTCAGGTCCCCACGCAACGAGGTCTGGCCACAGCTACAAAACAGCTGCAGAAACCCAGTTGGTAGAGAGCGTCCAGCCCTTCTGCGTTCATGGCATGTCTGTAATCCGGCACGCCCACACAAGCACACAGAATCCGCATGAACCTTTCTCCAGCCACCAGGCCTGTGCTCCAAAGCTACCGCTCCTCAGGACCTCGTCCGCAACGTGCGTCCAGCAACAGCGGTGCCTCGCAGAAAGACACACCCAATGTGGTCCAGAAGGAAAGCAGACACAGACCTGGCCTCTGTACATAGAGAAGCCTCTGTACATAGAGAAGAATCCAGCATCAGCCTCCAACTGTTCCTGCGACACTCTGCAGCAGAACAACCTCGCTAAACAACGTCACCTGCGAGGCCTCTTTACGGAAAAAGACCAGCTCGGCAAGGCTTGCTTGGACCTTTGCTAAGACGGACAGGCCACAAAAATGGACAGTGCGGCAGGGAGAAAACACTCTGCGCAGATCTTGCACGCCCAAACCACTGTCTTTCCAGCTGTTTTCGCGCTGCACAACATGCCTCTGCCACGGAGCATATCTTCACAAGAGCGACCTCCAGGGATGCGCCCATGGGGTCAAAGGCTACTATCCTCGGCCCCCGGAAGGGTGGGAAACCTAGCTTACACAGCACTATATCCAACACCAGGACACGTCTGCAAGACTGGTTGCAGTCCAAGATGTGATAATGTGCCTGAAGACCGTCTCAACTCAGGCTGCCACCCGGTCACAATGAATTTAGACAGACCTGCAGCGGCGCGTGGAAGCTTGGATCTGCTGCATGTACAAACCGTTTACACAGCACGAGACCTGACACCATATCTGCAAGACGATGCATTCTTTAGGACTTGGAGTGAACCAAAACAAATCGGACGGAAAATGCATGCACTCCTCTAGCCTTTGACGGCCAAACATTTAGAGAAATGCGTATCTGCAAGACGATGCATGTTTTCCGGCACGTATCTGCAAGACGATGCATAATTTAGGGCTTGGGGTGAACCAAACCCATCGGACGGTAAATGCATGCACTCCTCTAGCCTTTGACGGCCGAACATTTAGAGAAAAGCGTATCTGCAAGACGATGCATGTTTTCCGGTACGTATCTGCAAGACGATGCATAATCCAGGACTTGGAGTGAACCAAAACAAAGCAGACGGAACATGTATGCACTCCTCTAGCCTTTGACGGCCAAACATTTAGAGAAAAGCGTATCTGCAAGACGATGCATGATTTAGGACTTGGAGGGAACCAAAACAAAGCAGACGGAACATGTATGCACCCGTCTAGTTGACAGCATTTCACGGAAAAGAATACTGTGAGAGAACTCCCAATAAACACACACACACACACACACGCACGCACATACACACCTACCCACATACACGCGCGCACTATTTATCTATCTATCTATCTATCTATCTATCTATCTATCTCTCTCTCTCTCTCTCTGTCTCTCTCTCTCTCTCTCTCCACATATACACACAATGTCTGGAACCATCACTCTCTGTTGTTCGGAACTCGTCATACTTTACATGACGCTTCCGAGGCCACGTCCATCAAGCTGCAGGTGACTCCGTGGACCTTGACCGGTGTTAGGGCTTCGAGTTTAAGGGCTCGGGGCTACCGGCTGTTCCGAGGTGTGCTCCATGGAGCTTGACCGCTGTTAGGGCTTGGAGATTGGGGTTGAAGGGCTCGCAGCTACCGGCTGTTCCTTGAGAGCTCGGACCTTGCAGTTCTCCGCGCTTCGGATTGGCTCGCGGGCTTCAGAAGCCTCTAACATCTCCGGAACGGTCAGAGCTTTCTCGTGTCTTGGCTGTTACGTCTCATAAAGCGGCTGCGTGCAATTTATACAAATTGGATTACCTTCGAGCCACTCGCGCTCCTCTCTCGGCAATTCCTCCAGCTCACGTAGCCAAGAGTTCGATGTCAGGATCATGGCGACGTTGTAGACGTACACACTGTAGGTGAACATGTTTGTTCCAGAATGAGCGAGCGTGACCTCTTCTGTAGATCCCTGGAAAAGGCGACGGTTGCTGAGCACCATAGCCGTCGAAGCTTCGTCATACAAGATGGCTCGATGCAGCAAATTGTCAAAGGCACGCAAATCAGGTTGACTCACTCCACAGCAGTTGAGTTCTAGTGTCTCGCGATGACCGAAGAGACTGCGGGCAAAGATTGTTTTGCCAAGGCGCGTGGGTCCACTTAGGACCAAAAAGCTCCTTCTGAACATGGGTCGGGTAAATTGTGGAAGGAAGTCACGCTGGACTTGCTCGATCACGACGGCCTTTTTCATGAGGGGCTGAAGCTCCTGGAGATCTTGCGCCTTCCTCGCTTTGACGACCTGTGTCTGCACGCATTGGGCATGGAACTTCATGTTGTCTAAGTAGGCTTTCACGTGTTTCTTGCAGCGCAAATACTCCTGCTCCGCAACCTGCTCCGTGATTTTACAGGCCTGCCATAAGTTGGTGATCCAATCCGGAGCAACAGGGAAGGTGGTGAAGGCTGCTGCTGTCGTCGTCATATGAATGGAGCCAGTCTTTGGCACCTGCAGGTAGTAGTGCCCCTGGTCGTAGGCCTTTCGGCAAGCTTTCCCACGGGCTTGCTTGCACTCCACAGACTGATGCGGAACGGCGCCACGAAACAACAGACTGGGCTTCGGCAGCGTCACCGTCTGTCCTTGTTGCTACATCAAGAGCAAAAGGGGCATGGGGGATCATCTGGCCTACCAGGAACACTGTTGACGACAAGTCCTGTTGCATGTGGCTGAAATTTTCACGCTCCATCAAGATTTCAAAACACAAGGGGACGTATGACGAAGAATTCAGAACTTGGATCTGGACAAAAGTTCAGAATAACTGCGCCGGCGCCAAGCATCTGGAGTCAAACATGAGATGGAAGTGGATGCTGGGCGTCAGCGTGTCCAGACTCACAGCTGTGTGCAGCTCACACGCCAAAGTCAACCGATCCATCTTGCTGCTTTGCCGTAGCTGCTCGGCAAAACGTTGGAAATCTCTCCAAAGGGCTGCAACATCGGCATTGTCCTGCAAGAGGCGACACACATCGGCAATCCTTGCGTCGCCTTCTGCCAGCATTGCGCTGGCCCTGACATCTGGGATCTTGGACCAGGAACCACTGTATCTGAACATTGTGCCAGAACCTCGATAGGAAGGCAGCGGCTGCTCGTTCATCACTATAGGCTGTTCTGTACGCCAAGCGGCCAAAACAGCCCTGGCCGCTGCCATGAGATGCACGGGAATTCGGCCCCACATGGCCTCTAGCAATGGAGCTCTCTGCTCCACATTACTAAACTCCACACGCAAGATGTTACGCCGCGCGTGCCCATGTGAGCCTTCCTCGACCATTCTCCTCGCCACCCACGCATCTCGGACCAAGGTCTGCACCTGCGTCCGTGCTTCCCTGGTGTTTGCCCCCTCGGGCGGGCTCTGCTTGCCCTGCAAACGACGACGTTTTGCGGGCAAAAGGAACATGGCTTCGGCAAAATGCCTGCTTCGCATGCACGGTACTCACCAATTAACAGCAGGCTATGGCTTCAAGACCAGAACATGTTGACGATCTCTTGGCCTACGACGTCCAACATGTCATCCTGTGCTGCTCCCGAGAACTGAGGAAGTCTCTGGTTTGGAGGGCCCCGTTGGCAGAATGACTACCGACAAACCCTGGGCTTTAGACGCTGCTTTGACAGGATTCTTCATGACATGATACGCAGCATCCACTG